CCCCCCCCCGCTCATAGAGACTGCGTATTACAGTTGATTATAGTTCCTAGGCTCCCTGTGATGTTACTGAACGCTCTAGCGGGAGAAAGGGGGTCGATTCCGCGACCGGTCGTTTGTGAGCGCGTTTGCGTCAGTTTCTCTCAAGTTGAATATACATGCTTATTTGACAAAGGCATGTATGGATAACATGTGGAAATAAATAACATTTTGTTCATATTATCTTTTAGTGTATGAATGTAAAACATGTTTTCTATATTTTATGAAGTGTTTGGGATGTTTGATTTCCACAATACAGAATCAATATGTGCGGTACAAATCTGAAGCTGGTATAGTAAAGCAACGGCCTAAAACTGCGTATTTTTGCTGACCGGAAGATAATCCACGCCAATTTGACCCCTCTTTCTTAGCTAAGCAATCAGGGACTTCGGGAACACCAAACAAATCTATTCGTGTCGTGTCGAGCGACGAAAGAGGGTTCTACAACATTAACTTGTTCGTTATTGTAGATTGTATAATTGTATGTAGACTAACACTATATGTCATTCATTCTGCAGCAACTGAGCCAATAGCAGCGCCAACTACACTTCCTTCTCCAACTACCGTGTCAACAACACTGGCTCAATCAACAGTTCAAACACTGCCACAATCTCCAACAACAATCGAGGAAACAACAACAACTGAATTGCCAGTGATTACGTCTGCTACAACTTCATCAAAACCAACAACAAGAATTCAATCAACAACACCAACAACGAGCACTCCATTAGACACCAGGGCTTCAACTACACTACCGGGAACAACCTACATTGAAACCCAGCCACCAACTACAACAGAATCAACAACAAACGCTATTTCGTCTAAGTATCTAAAACAGGGTATATTTCATTACAGTGGATTGGCAGCACCTGTCCAGGGACACACACTCGAACTAACAACACCAAATGTAATTGGTTGCGCGCATCAGTGCCTCACAGACACTGTTTGCCAGTCCTTCTCGTTTGACCTCTCAACTCACGAATGTAAAACCTTCTCTTTCAATGTCACTATTGATTTAAACGTACAAATAGACCCAAACATTCAATATTTTGTGTACTGACAAGCATACAAATTACTTATATTCGTCCTCTATGTTTTCCCCCATCACACTGCATACTTGATTTTAAACTCCGAAAAATGCTGGAATATTTATTCGATCGGTTTTATGCGTGCCATCTATTAGATGGTGACTTTGCAGATGCCAAGAACCAACTGTTTTTTTCCCAGGAAATTATAATTTAATAGATTGATTCTGTTGTTTTCAAAGTTTCCTAATTGACTTTTAGCGATGGCATTAAATTTGTTTACGAATAGTCAGCAATATTATCCATGTATTATTCACATAACCACGTGTTCATTTGACGACATGCGCATGTACATTGAGTGTTTTAGCACATGAAATTAAATCATTACACAAATGTATTATTTACTTCTATTGAATACTATAAAAACAAACAAAAATAACAAATGCATTTTCACATCTATATCGCACTTTTTATGGGAAAAACTGTAGAACTGATGATAATATATGATTTGATGCTGTCAGTGAGTCAATTGTGCACGTAATCAAGACAAAGTGCACGGATGTTGAGAATTGGAAAACACATACGTATAAATTCAGCCCAGCGGATGATATGACGGAGTATATTTGTCAACAAGAGTTAAAACAGGGACACATGGATATGGTAACAGCTGTTGCACGGCATAGCGAACTAA